TTGAGGTATCGGCTTCCATGGAGAAAATCTCATCCTCCTTGTCACCGCCATAATCATCGTCATCGAAGAACAAAAGCTCTCCATTATTGCGGGAGTTCATGCTACCACGTCTCCGGAGGCCACTCCCGGAATGCCGCCGTCTGTGAGGAGCCCGAGGGAGCGAGCTAGTTCGGTTAGGGTCCTCTTCGGTCCGGATCTTCTCTAAGCGGTTTTGGTTGGCATCTAGGGCAGTGGAAGCTGACGATGAAAGAGCAGGACCCTCACTAGGGGGCGCCTTGATGTCAATCGCTTCTGTCTTTAGAGCTGCAATTGGCCCAGGGACTGGTCGTCGATCGCTAGCTGTGTGGTCTTCTGATAGGTTCTCTCGGCGGTGGGTAGTGGCGGGCATGTCGGAATTAGCTCTTGGCAAATGGGCATGACCTCGAGCGTGTCGTCGATGATGATGAATAGCAGGAGGGCTGAATACCTCGCGGAGAACCTGCTCTTGAAGCTTGAGATTGACTGTTGTGGCGCCCCAGATCTTGGCCCGCTTGCTTAGAGCCGATGTATCAGACTCCGCTGACATACCCTTGAGGCCATCAACGGATCGTGCGCGGTTTATTGAAGCGTCTGCTGTCCGCGGTCGCTGCTGGTGTGTAAAAAGATCCGCAGGAATGATGTGGCGATTGTTCTCAAGAATGACCTTGGGGATGACCCCTGTGACTTGGGACTGGCTAACAATTCGCTGTGGCTCCTGTGATTCTGCTGCCTCGAGAAGCTGAGAGCTGAGCGCTGAAGTTCCATTGGCAGGTGTCGCCTCTGGAATTATTCCATCGGCAGAATCAACCTGATCCTTTCGTTTAGATGTCTTGGAGAAGGTGACGTTCAGCACTCCGATGTATCTGACAAGAATATTAGTATTCAATGCGCTAATAACGGTTTGCTTTCCGTGGGATTGATGTTACCTACTTTGGGAGAAATACAAGCATATCTGGATGTCTCCGTTCAATGCGTTCGTAGAACTCATTCTCTCGGTTGTTCAGCTGCTTGCATACAGCGCGTCGAGAAAAGCGGAAAACAGTTGTGTGTCCGCCAACCTGATGGCGATAGGGCTTCAATTCCACGGCACCAAGAGGTCCCGGAGGCGGGGGTTGGGGACGAGAAAGAAGTTGGGAAGACTGGGTCGGTGTGGCAGTCAGGTTTTCCGCCTCGTCAACAGACTGTATACTTTCATCTGCTGTTTGGGGTTCAATTTCGGTATCGTAGATCGAATCGCCGGATTCAGAGATGGCACTCAAAGGGGTTTGTGGCAAATTCTCTCGTGGAGAATGGATATCCCCATAAAGGATCTTACTTTCATTCTTAGATCGAAAGGATATATCCACATGGCTGATTTCCTTTTCGGGAGAATCGCTACGCTCTTGGGGTACTAACATCTGCTCATGACCTTTCTCTGTAGCCGACACCTGACCCGGTTGCACATCGAGCGGCCCGTCGGGAAATTGTTGTAGGCCATCAACCTCATCAGGCACTGTACGCTCGTGGGGGAAGTAAACGGCAGAGGAGATCTGCTCATTTTCCTCCTCCTCAACCCCAAATTGCCCTGATCCACGCTCCTCTTCCTCGAAAGAGTCAGACGGAGATACCTCGACGTGGAGATCCTTCTTGAAGTAGTCCCGACTGCGTTCTGAATATTGAGTTGGAATGCTTTTCGAGAAAGAAGATCCATGGCGACCGCCCGGTGTGAGATGAAAGTTTCGGATCTCCTCCAACAAGTTGCGTGGCAACGCTGTCGGGTGATGCTTAGAGGGTACCTCGTCATGTATGGTGTGGGGCAACTCTGGCTGAGGTGGAGGTTGGAAAGACGGAGCATCGTTAAGTGCGGAGAGTGATGTGCTTTTACGAAGCGAAGTTGCCTGCTCTAAACGATGTGGTTCTTGTTCATGATCCATGATGCGATCCCTCAACTCCGTCTCATCTTGTGGTCGGCCGCGATCCTCCCGTCGTTTGCGATCCGGTGATGAAGTGGTGTTTTCTTTAAAAAGGCCGAGGTAGTGGCTGGACTTACGGCTGCGCACATTAGAAGCCGGCTCCGCGTTGGTCAGATTGGCTTCAATTGAGCTATCAACCCGGCCACGACGACCTCTGCTGGGGCTTCGTTCAACCGCCACAGGGGTCTGAGGGCTTTCCTCTTTCGGACTGTAGGATAAGGGACCCGGACTGACCTGAGAGCCCTGGCCAGAGGATGGGATGGTCAAAGAATGGGAGGTACGTGAGACATCATCTAGTGTGGACGGGAAGAGATTCCGTTCAGGTAAAGTGCCTTGAAACCGACTGGTTTTCGTACCTGTGTTATCCAATGGCACCTTGTACCGCTGCGATCCGCCCAACTGAGCCTGCACGCCCGCCTCTACCTCGGTTTTCTTTGACTGATCAGTCGGCGAGATGGATGCGCGCAGGAGAGACAAACGAGGGAGATCGGTTGAGAAAAGAGTAGAGGAACGCAATGGAGAGTTTCTGTGGACGTCAACTTCCATGCGGGAAGGGTCGACGTTAAAACGGTGGGGAGAGACCTTGGAGAATGCACTTGGAGACACGGATGCATCGTCGAGGCTAGGGATCAGGTTGACCTGGCGTTCATTGCCCAAGGCCGTTTCGGGGGGTAACTGTGGGGTATTTGCGGCACTATCTGAGGGAAGGTAATGAGTAGCGAAAATGCTGTCACGTTCTGACAGCTGAGGCCTGTAGGCAATATCCGGGTGCGCAGTATTCTCTGGAGGCGCAGTCGCGGTTCTTTTTAGAGGGAATAATCGGGATGCGGGCTGAGACCAGGAATGGGTGGGGGATTCAGCGCGCGACGGTGATAATACCTCCTCCCCCTGGGACAGATGCTGGGCTTGCCCCAAGTGATGACGTGGGGTACCCAGGATATTGGAGCAATCATGTTGGGCAGGCGTAGCAGGTGTCACCAGGGGACTAGGCAAGGTATCTTCGGAAACGGACGGCGAGTTTGACATGGGGAGGACATTGGTCAAGTACAGGACAGGATGGTATGGAAGCGGAAACCGGAGTGGTTTAGGGGTAAAGAAAAAAAAGAGGATTTAAGACTAAGATAGATGCCTAGAACTTGAGGAAGAAAGATTGGCGTTAGGAATTTCCAACTATTTGCATTCAAGGGGGGTGGGGAAGGAGTTATTGGGGCACGTTTAGGCAGAGAGAGATCTTACAGGCTAGTGAAAAGCCGCAAATCGGTCAGAATGCCAGGATGAAGAGTTCAAGGAGTAAAGGGAAAGGGAGATGGGGAAGTTTGAGAGCGAGTCTTCGATCGTCACCGCCCTTGAGTGGATCCGATTAGGAAAAAACTAAAATAAAATAAAATAAAAAAGATAAAAAGATAAAAAGATGAAGATGAAGATGAAGATGAAGATGAAGATGAAGATATTGATATTGATATGGAGAATAAAAAAAGAGAGAAAGAAAAAGAATATGGAAGAAGTTATATGTAAAAAAAAAAAAAAAAAAAAACCCCAAAAATTGGCGGGGAGTTTGCCTCTTTCACTTCACTTTATGCAAAGAATATACAGCTTCCTATTAAGTATTACAAGACTATCAGTACGGAAGTACTCGGTCTATTGTGCAACGTCTTACAGAACTTCTCTTCCAACTAGTTGGATCTTTTGGCTAGGGTTCCTAGAGTATTGAGACCAAAAAATGATAACACATGAGTATTAGAGAACTCGGAATGATAATGATATGGGGTTATAACAATATTGTACTTCGTAAGCTTCATGAGATTTACACCTTGTGCTTCGAGCCTAAATATTTTCCATTTTCTCAGTATCTTTATTTTGATTCCTATCTTACATGATCTACCAATCATCTGTCTTAATGCATAGTGTGCAGCCATGTCGATCGCTAATAGGTGTCCTTGATTCACCTCCAATGACTGTAACATTTTAACATATTACCTAGGTACTAGTAGCATCTTAATATCTTAATACCCGTTAAGCTCAGAGACTAAAATGACCAAGGCTTATATCTCCTTCACCCTATGTCCCCGACAAAGAAACTAAACGAACTAAACGAACTAAACGAACTAAAAAGCATTCTCAGATTAATTGCCCCCACTTTGACAAGCCACGAAAATGACCTTATCTCGGAAAAAGATGTCAACTGGTTGGTGGCCAAGATGAGGCGGTATAATTTGTATGGGAATTAAATTTCTCAAAGCTGCTGCCTGTTTAGTATCCCGAGGTCATATTATCGACTTACAATATCATGGTATAATCTCAGTATATCTCTATCGGGTTGTAAATTGTTCAGAGTATACATATACAACATAGTACTGGATAAAATGTTAAATAAGGTCATATTCTTATATTCCACAAAAGCTTGGACATCCATGGATAAATAATAGAGTTAGTAATAATAAATCCCTTGGTAAACCAAGCACGAACTACGTCAAAAAACCAACAGCGCCTAAGTGTGATTGTGATGGGATAAAAGTGATTGGGAGCCGAGCGGGTCGTAATCCAACCAGAGTCCTCGACGAGGTGAAGAAGATGCATTAGGGGCCAACCAGGGCCAACCAGGACTAACCCGGATGGTCTTTTTCAACGAACCAGCTTCGTCGTAGAACAAAAAGAGAGGAGATCCCCGCAGACCTCTGACTTTTGTACTCCCCGTTTACAAGGCTCCTATGGTCTTCCACTCCTTAGTTCGATGCTGGCTTCCTTCCACCATGCGCGTTCGTTCACACTTGAGGCATTATAGCCACTGGGACCTTATACATCCCATTTTCCACCGATCGCATCTTCCTTAGCAACTGCTTCTTTTCCTAATACCCATGTTGATTCCAGTGGGAAAGCTGTTGAGTCGCGTGTCATACAGCTTCCCAGTTTCAATTATCTACCTTGTGATCGGGCAAATCTGCTATTTTCCCCTTGAGGAATCTCGATCAGAGTGAATCTCTATTTATTTGGTAACAAGTTCACGAGAAAGCCCACTGTCTTGACTTCAAAATGGGTCGCCTGAACGTGGACACTACAGTGGGAGGAAACCACCAGAGATATTCGTTTATGGAAACACCACTCGAAATGCACCCATCATCCTACGAACGGGATTTAGCCTCGCCTCCCCCAGCGGACCAGAGTGCGCCCCCGCACCATCCCGCAGTGGAAGGAACCCCGAAAGAGCACCAGCGAGCATGGTCATATGCGCCGAGTGAGAAAGAGCAATTTCAGCATCAGGGAATAATCCCGGATTATGCGAACTGTCCCCCCATCGAGCAACACCCGGCCAATTATGCGCCTTTGGTGCATAATCAGCAGCAGCAGCAACAACAACAGCAGCAACAACAACAGCAGCAACAACAACAGCAGCAACAACAACAGCAGCAACAACAACAGCAGCAACAACAACAGCAGCAACAACAACAGCAGCAACAACAACAGCAGCAACAACATAACACTTCAATGTCTCCTCAGTCGTACGCAATTGCGCCCGAGCATCAGCAGCACGCCGCTCAAGCTTATACCCCATCCTATACCGTCCAGTCGTATGCAAACATAGCCGAACAGCAAAGTCACACCATGTCTCCTCAGACATATGCGACTCAGTCGTATACAAACATACCGGAGCAACAGCAGCACCAGTGGCACCAACAGATAGACATGACCATATCTCCTCAGTATGCGAACGTACCTGAACAACAACAGTACAGCACCCCGATGTCTTCCCATTCGTACGTGAGCCATCCGCATGCGACGCAGTCATACACCCACCTCCAGGAACAACAGCGCGGCATCGAAATACCCACCCAGCAGTATGCCTCGTATACCGAACCTCCCAGTTCGCCACCCCCGAACTCACCAGGGCCACTGCCTCTGAAAGTAAACCCCGAGGCTCCACCACGGAGCGAAACCATGCCCATTGTTCCGGACGAAAATCCCCTACAGTCACCCAAGTCGCTGTATTTCCCTCCACCCACCAGAGCGACAACATCGCACCCTGCCCAACCAGATGACCTGAGCGCATACCACCAGCCTGGCCAAACCACCCATCCAAATCAGGAGATCAAGGGAGGAGGATGGAACAACGGACTGTGTGAATTTTCGAATTTCGGAATCTGCTGTCTGGGACTGCTATGTCCATGCATACTGTATGGGAGGACACAACACCGACTCTCGATGAAATCGAAGAAGGAGGACCCGACCAATATGCTCGGATACGAGACTTGCAATGGGTCATGCACGGGCATGGGACTGCTATGCGGATGTCAATGTAAGTCCAAGTCCTGTTCCAAGCTTGAGTGAGGTCTAAATCATCGCGATCGAAAAACCGAGAAAAGCACAAACACCATTCTGACATCAAAGCAGGGTTATTGGCCACAGTCCAACATACGAGAACGAGGAAGGCATATGGCATCCAGGGTAGTATCGTGTCAGACTGCGTGCGGGCGACCTGCTGTACATGCTGCACATTGATTCAGGACGAGAAGGAGATCCAGAAGCGTGAGGAGTACCGATCTCGCGTCGCTAGGGAACGGAGTGCGACTCTGCTCTCGCCGTATACTACTCCCGGGCCGATGTCGTATGGCCCGCCACCGAGGTAATGCGGTATGTCTAGCGAAGGAGCAGAGTTCGATGGCGTGGAGTCTTGTGTATATAGTCTATGCATTGTGATGAAATAGCGTTTGTTATTTGATATGGGACTACGGATTATTCTGTAGCTTGTCAACTTTGCCGATTTGTTATGTACAGGTGCAAGAGCGAGATGTTAACTTTGAAGATCAAGGCGGGTTATTACGTAAATCTATTACTTTGGTTTAATGTTGCAGATAATTGTATGCTGGTGGCATTTCAAATGTGATTTATCATATTCCCACCTACGTTGTAAACAGGGCATGGTGACTTCAGGTTGATTGTCTTAGTCGAGACACAGAGAACGGAGAATATCGCGCTGATGTCAGTGCTTTCACTCATTTGAGAAGTCACTTTCTATACTTCGTTGATATGTGCAATATGGTGGAGTCAGTGGGGCATAACATCCATGGCTATGAACAAGATAACTTGCGCTATGTGGTTATCGCTTCAACTTGCTTTGCTCTTGTCTACTACCGCAGTTGGCTTCCGCATCATCTACCGAGCGATCAACGGAAGCAGTCTTTTTTTGGCTGACTGGCTCATTATCCTTGCGTTGGTGAGAAGCAATATTAACATGTCAAGGCTAATCTTCGCAAACAGACCTTTGAATATGGTATATCGATCGTAGGAGTTGTGTGTACGTTGAGATCATTCACGCCCAAACCAGCCATGACCTAACGAATGGCAGTACTATAAAATGGACTCGGAACCCATATCATCGAGCTGTTCTCCCGAACAGACCGTTGTCTACCTAAAGGTATGACATTGTATTCGCATCGCTGTGAATCGCACATTTAGACCATGTACTGACATACCCACAGATACTGTTTACAGGCTCGATCCTCCACCCCGGCTGCACTACAAATATTAAACTATCCATCCTGATGATCTACCACAGACTGTTTTCCATCCGACCATGAGATATGCCGTCAATATTGTATCTCTGATTGTGATCCCATGGGCTACCTGCAGTATTCTCGCAGGCTACTTCACTTGCATCCCAACAGAGAAGCTATGGCACCCCATGATAGAAGGTGGTTGCGTGAATCTGTCAAGATTCTACTACGGTCTTCAGATGCCCAACATCACGACGGACACAATCATCCCCCTGCTGCCTATGCACATTGTGTGAAACCTTCCCATATCCAAGGCTCAGAAGTTGGGTCTTTCTGGGATTCTCATTTTGAGATTCTTGTGGGTTTTACCCGCTGTCCCTATGATAAATATTCCTCTAACATCATGCAGGACCCTAATTTTCGATACCATTCGTCTGGTCGTCCTGATCGAGCTTTCCACTAAGGGTGACCACATTACCTGCACGCATAGTTTCCTGTTAAATCACACATATGAGAAGTTCCTAATAATACTCGAACAGATAAAGAAGTCTCGACAAGCGTGTGGACATGCATCGAGCCTGCTGTCGGAATTATTGCGTCCTGTCTGTCAAATATGCGGCCTTTGTTTAAGGTCATGCATACCAAGGTTTGGTCTAGGCTTTCTAGCCGATATGCCACCAATACGGACAGTAACAAAAATTCACAAACTAAAGAGAGAAGTGGCTGGCCGCGACAGACCACTAGCCTCACCGATGAAGGGGGTATTTCTCCTAGTCCTTGTAGGGATTTGAACCAGTCGCCGACTCAAAACCAGTCTAATGTGTAAGAAAGGTGCTGGGATTATATACACCTATGCTGATAAGAGCTTTTCTTCTGCCATTCTATGAAGGGAGGAGATATTGTTTGATTCTTTTTGCCTTTGTAATTCCTTGCATATAACAAGGAAGCCACAATCGCTTTGTTGGCATCTTCCAGGTATTCGTCAGTAGAAAAGGAACACAAAGAAGTCAAATAATGTTGTTGTCTTTTGTCTAAACTATGTAATCCTCAGCCAATTGACAAAGTCATTGACTCAATGCAATTGGGATTACACGAGATATGAAAGAAGTGAACGACCAGCCTGAAGAGAAATGGATGACAACAAAACAAAGGCTTTTATATGCTTTGGTACCTTTCATTTTCTACTTCTCTCTAGAGCCCTTCAATGCATAGCTTAAGTGAACAGTAACCTGAAATTATAAACAGCTATTATTCCAGAATTTTCCCGAGTAAGTCAATCAAGCAACTCACTTTCAAATCTCCAAAAACAAGGTTTGCACGTTTTATTTTCTTTAGTTTGATAAATTCCAAATCGCTAACGATAAGGCCTAAGTGAGTCCCAATTTTAACCCTAGTTGCCTTTCCAGCAAAAGAATGTCTAACCGTGAGCCAGCATGCTCGCTGTACCAGAAAAGCTTCCAAAAGGAATGTCGCGCCTTCATGAAACGGGCAGAAGCTACAGCAGATTATGCCAGGAAATACCCAAACAACCATGAATTCGAGCCTAACAGTGAGGTTTACAGAGGGCTTATAAGTTTGTTGTCCCGAACAGCACGAGTAAAAGACACCGGACTTGATATGGTTGCAGAGACTCCGAGATGTTCTCTCGTTCTCAAGGAACGCAGCTATTGGTTCATCCGAGATCTTGCAGACCAGACAGAATTTGAAGATGAATGCGATAATATAGAGGCACGTCTAGAGGGACTGATGCAAAAGGTTGAGCGCCGCGAGATAGAGAATCTTTGGGTTGCTGGATTTCTTGAGTCTACGGCTTTGCGTATCCAGGATCAATTTCGTGTATAGATATATCAATGGAAGTGGGATATTTTGTTGGAATGTGCGTGTAAATTTGTAATATGGATTTAGCCACAATGACACCTCTAGGGATCAATGGTGGTCCTTGATATGATCAAGGATTTTCGCGATTTTACGCTGATCCTTTTCGTCTGAAATATGTAAGAGAGCTCCCTTTTCAACACCACGCGGAGCCCAGTCAACAACATCCTTTGTCATATCCGATATCCGAGTGCTTATACACCCGCATAACCCCCCCCCCCCCCGGTTAGTAATATCATGAAATGGCGCAACTGCTAAGCCTCTTCTTTCCAGATTGATTCCTGCCTTCCAGGCCCTTCCTCTTGCACCGAGTGATCAAGAACTTAGTGGCCGTTTCCCTGTCGTCTAGGGTAGTAAAGGGGATGTAGATCGGAATATCCGTTCTTTCCTGTTTGCGACGTGTGCTTCTTTTGAGGCAGTTATTAGGACAATTTTGCATTCCATACATCATAGGCAACGTACTCGGGACGGATTTACGATCTATCTCCCTTTGGGTGGCATGGATTTCGAAAGCTAATGACAGTTAGCTGACATGAAATATATTGATCGCAATTTGGTTTACCTGCGAGATAATGGGAGCAATGGTTCAGGAAATCCAGGGATCATGACACGAGGGATCTCTATGGTGAGAGAAACGAACTGTATTTGGTTCATATAGAGCGGAGCGGACGAAGAGAGAAAGGAGGCGAGAAAGGAAAGAAGATACGTAACAAACTACAGGTTCTTATACAAGAAAAAGAAAGACAACTGAAAAGACATCTGAAAAGATATCTGAAAAGAAAATCGGGGTATTATCCTACATATAACGTCCTATATATCATATTGAGCCATGTATATCAGAGTATTAAATTCTGCGCCATCACGAACAGAGGCGACAACTTCAAATTCTTATATGAGTAATGTGATCTAGGATTATTATCAGATTTGGTCTCCCTTTGGCTATTTTTTGGATTCTTCGATTTCCGGGATTCCCTCAAACTCTCGTGGGGATGCGTCTGACTGGAGGGAAGTTTTGAATACAAAGGCTTAAGTGGTAGTTGCTTTATTCATCATCTGAATCAAGATGCCATCCGTGCTCGAATTTATAAGTTATTGTAACTCATTGGGTCTACTGGTAGTGTTAGAATACGACCACCGATTTAAATAACATGATTTGAATACGCTCACCTGTGAATTTTCATCGAGCTTTCCAAACCAAAAATTGTACTTGTCAGCAAAGTTACCCGAGTCTACCAATTCCTTCGCACGGAATCAACGACATCCAAAAACATCACCGGTTTAAGACAACTGAGAGAAGGCTCTAACACATTTCTTACGAATTGAAAACGCTGTTGGTGACACCCCAAATAGCGAAGCTCATAATCGATTCACGCTGAATGAGTTGATCTTTTATACATATGAGCATGTCCGGAAATATCGTTCCACTAAGAGTAAACCTATCTACATAAACGGTATTGACATTGAAGCAAAGTCTGATTCTAAGTTTTTACCAGAAATTCCGCAAGCATTGGGTTACATGGGTAAGTGCCCTTTCAACTTCCCTACTACTATATACTAGGGGGAGAGTAACTTCTTGTTCATCGCCACAGGAAGGAGCAAAACAAAAAGAAGCAAGATTGTATCTCATTTATCCCCAGCTCACTTGTGGGGAAGCTGGGTTTTCTTGGGGTCTGTTGAATTGTTGAAACCTTGATTGCCTTGCTGGTCTTCTGCTTGAAGAGATCCATAGATTGCAACGTCTGCTCCCTGTGTTTTTGTCAGACGTCAGCGGCCAGGGCATTATAGTCAAGATCACCTGGCGGTGCCAAGCTGGGGGGGATCGCCAGATGAGGAAATAAGACGTACAAAATCTGCGGTATCTCCCTGAGCTGCATGGATTGTTTGTATCAAGTTGGAAACAGATCTAGGCGGGTGCCTAGCGTTGCCTCTGAGAATCTCTTGGGTTGAAATGCGCTCCCCATAGAATTTCTCGTTCTCGTCAAAGCGCTCAATGATGATCGTACCGTCCAATGCGACACCGCCATAGATACCCTTGCTCTTCATGTATGTCAAAATTGGTGCCTGTCGTTTATGAACTTCGCTGTCAACGAGTCCTCCTATACCGACCGGGCCGGCGGTGACGCTCAATTCACCACCGATAGTACAACGGACTTTCGTAAACGCTTCCAGGGCCTCGTATGTATTTATGACCATGATGCAATCGTAAATGTCCACACCAGCCAAGAAGCCAATGCCAGCGGTATGTAGGAGGATACCGGATGGTGGACTCCACTCATCAGTTCCGGGAATGCGTCCCAGCAACACTCCACTACCTCCGGCACCGCTAACCCACAGACCAGTGCGCATAGTGGTGAAGATAGCCAATCCTTTTGCATTCTTGATAACATGCTGCGGTATCTTTATGATAGCACGTTGATTGCTTTTGGGCCGATTGATCTTGCCATATTCATCCGTAGTACTCTCGGATTCGGGAGTATAGAAACCATCCTTGCAGAAACTGCGAATGATGCGTGCAGCTTTGTCGCTCTCTTTGTCGATAGACATTGGCCAGAAGGCCTCGGCACCTAGTCTGTTAGAGAGACGATTCATGGGAGGGCCCAGCTTGTCGATGGTGTCCCATGCTTTATCGAGGCCCAGTTTTGAGTAGCGCTTCGTGTCTTCCCAAAAATGAGCCATATTGTCAAACGGCAGAGAACACTCGGTGAATTACACAAAGTCACAAATCAGCATCCGGTAATAATAGACTGTATGGGATGTATACTGGAAATTTCAGCGTAAGTTGAGATTCCGGAAATTGGGGATGAGATTTAGTTTTCGTCAAGGGGCACAGTAGTGGAAAGGGTTGTAAAGAGGGCTTTAAACAGTGGCAGGCAAAACTAGAAGATAGGCAGCATCATAACGAGATTGATATAGAGGCCGAAATTCCCCACTATTTAGACCTTATAAGTGAATACCGCCTTACCGGTTCTGGTAATTTCAACCTATTCGTGCTTACAATCTTAATGAGGTAGATTTTATATTTCAATATGGAGTGCATTCAGGAACAGTGAAATACAGTAAGCTTAAATGGAACAAGCTACAATGGGAGGGGACGCTAAGGCCAGTCCTACTTTCTCCGTATCAGGCGTAGAAACGATTATTCCTGATCTTATTCTATCTGTGTATCTAAATATAATATATGACCGGTCCTTACATTTTCTTTTTACCAAAATTACAGACGGTGGCTTGCGAGGATCCACCACCCAACCCGCACTCTTTTTTATACTTTCTGCTGTACCATTTACTATACCACCACGTAGCAAATTAATTAATTAAAAACAGTAAGCAAATCAATTAACCAATTTAATACTAGTATAATGTTAAGAAGTGAGAGCCAAGGATGCCAAGCCTCCATTTACATAAGTCATTTCATTATAAGATGGCCACAGTCTTAACAAATAATGCGGGTATCGGAGGCATGAACATGACCCATCATCAGCGCCTCGACAATTTCACCCTTGATCCCAACCCCTCGCCCTGCACGGAGTATAACTAAAGCATTGGCTTTTGCAAGACTGCCTACCGCACTAACACCAGTGCTTGTAGCATATAGTCGGCCGTCCGATCGAGAGCCAGTCACGACAGCACGGTGGTACTCGGTTCGCTTGAGGTCGCGGGGGAAGTGGTGGGTTAAGACGACAGCGACCCGAGGCAGACCTACCTGCGGCGTAATCCCCGGCTTGGCAGCGATATCCTGGGAGGACTCGCCTAGACCGGCGAATTTATGCAGAGAAGGCAAGACAAAGAGGTTCAGGGTGGCTAGCGCAGAGGCTGGATCTCCGGGGAGCGAAAATATCAGCTTGGAGGTGTGCTTTTGTAGGATGTTCTTGGTAGCTGTGTCGGCTGTGGTAGCCTTGAAGGGTACCGTTGCGAAGGTAGTGGTCGTGCCGGGTTTCATAGAAACGCGGTTGAAGTGAATGGATCCACCGAGCGTGCGCTCAATGATAGGAGTAAAATCTAGTTTGCCCAGGGACATGCTGCCAGTGATTACGAGCACATCGACGCCAGAGAATGCACGGTCTACACCGTATAGGGAGTCACGAAGGGTATGTTCGAGCTCGCCTGCTGCTGTCTCGCGGGCGAGACCAAGGTCCACAGTCTCAATGCCCCAGGAGGCTAGGCACGACAAGAGGGATGGGCGGTTAGAATCGCGGATCTGGCCTCTGACGAGGGTGGAGGGGTTCGAATGCTCCACGAGATCGCCACCGACACTGAGAACGCCCACCCGGCACTTCTTGAAAACTTTAACGGTCCGCGTTCCCGTAGCAGCAAGCAGACCTATTTCGCCGCCAACTGGGGAGATAAGGTCGCCACGAGCAAGGATTCTGGAGTTAAGGGCAACGTCGCTGCCAGGCTCGCGGACATTTTCTCCTGGGACGATATCATCGGCCAGAATTTCAACAGTTGGTTCGTCTTGGCCGTCTAGGGTTGAGGATGCTATGTCCTCGAACATAACCACGGCGTTGGCATTAGAAGGGATGGGGTTGCCAGCGCTAATTTTAGCAATGGTTCCTGGTTGTAGGGGCTCAAAGGCCCCGCTCATGTTGGCGTGGGCGATTGAAGTTCTATGGAAAATGAGTTTGGTGGATCCGCCTTCTTTGGCAATAATGGCATAGCCATCGACAAGACTGGTGGGATATGCTGGTATCATCTCGCTAGCGTAAACGTCTTCGGCAATGACGGAGCCGATGATGGAAGTGGTGACAGGGGTTTTGACCACAGCGGGTGCAGGAGTTTGCTCGTGAATCACGCGTAGTGCTTCCTCTACAGAAAGCATAGGATCGGCACAAGGGCGGTAGTGCTGATTGCGGCCTATCGTGGGTCTGTTGGATTTGGATCGGAGACAGTCTGGTACAGATATGTGCGCTTTGGGGATCGAATGGCCATGTGTATGATGGTAATGGCGATAAGGTTGATGTTGGGGTTGGGGTAGATGCTGGACAATAGTGACTCCGGTCTTGTTGTTTGGTTTCTTCATATCACTAGTATGTAAAGAGCGAGGGTTTGGCAGGATGACATGCGGGAGGAGGTTCATAACGACTTCAAGATCCTCCATGGCTCCTTTGGAGGACCCTGGGAAATTGATTATCAAAGTCTTCTCACGAACACCAATAACCTGTCTTTCCAATTTTGCGGCTAGATATGAATGAGCTGGGGTGTACATAATCAGGTAGGAGGCCTAGAGTGATGTCCTCAGCACACGAGAACCGAGTTGCCAACAAAGATCCAGACCATCTCCTCACCTCGGGGGTAATATCCTTGACTGCTAAGCCTGCCGGGGCACTAAGAAAAACTAGATGGCGCCAATTGGGGCCACTAGTCCAGTTGCAAAGTGCTTGCTGGATTTGGAGAACATTGTTCGGAACTATGCGAATTGCGGAGAGTTCCCACTTTTCCTCCTTGACCAGAATAGGCGCAAGAGTATCAGGCCCGCGGTCCAAAGTGGTATCATTAGAGGCTTCGTCGGAGACGATCAGGATGGCAGCCCTTTTTATTTCCATTGTGTTAAGAGATGGGTTCAGCTAGTTTAGCTATGCGGGTAAGTGAGGCCTTTTAAGCCTCAAAAGACTGGGGTATGGGGAAATGGTGAAGTTTCAATGACATCTTACTACATACGTATTGGCCATGCCATGGTAGATGCAATCTGGTGTCTCTGCTATGCTAAGTTGCTGTCGGATCGAATCCAATGAACCAATGTGGTCCGTAGACGAGCACATGTGGCCATTAAGCGAGCTATGAAATCTAGAATACATAGGAAATATAGTACCCTACAACTTCATATCTCCTACCAGGGTATTTTACAGTCTTCTAACCGGGCACTATACTTGTTTCCAGATTCGAATCTCGCTTAATGGGCCACAATCTCGCTTACTGTCCACATGTGTAGGTCGATTATAGGCCAGCCTTATAGTTAGAATTGGCTTGTTGCTTCTGCTTGTTTCTTGTTTACTGTAAACACCCATTGCGTAAAGACCTCAAAAAACATCCACCAAACAATCCTCAGATTTGCTGTCATCCTCATGGTTCACAGAGACATAACTCATATTGCGAAAGGGCAAGCAGTGAAGTTGTTGGTGCCATAGCCGAATGATAACGCTAGCATGATCACTACACTTCTAAGGTTGGTATTCAATGGCGGTATATATCAGATGCAATTCCCTCCCAAAGCGATCAGCTAGTCATACTAGCACAAATGACGAGATAAACGTGGTCTTCGTGTTAACGTAGGGGAGGCGTAAAACAAGGAAGTAGCTTCTACCGACTCAATAAACACATGGCTCAGGTAGTAGGTGGACAGCTTGAGACCTACATGTGTAACTACCGGATGTGCCTTACACCGGCTTAATATCAATCCTTCGAAGCCTAACTATCTTCTACGCAGTTTCCCCAGATCGTCACTGGTGAACTTCCTTTGATGTCCGAATTTACCTTTCCTGCTCAACAATACGTAAAACCATGGCCAACGCGAGGAATTATTTTCAGTTGGAATATCATAGCTATAGTTCGAGAGATATACAGACTCATGTGCAACGTTGGATATATTTCAGGCTCGGTTCAACGTCCAACATTAGTATCATCACTGGTTACGCTGGCGGCGACGGAACCAAACATGCAAGAACAAAAAGTCAACAATGCCTACCGCTAGCATCGCCGAAATGGCAGAGAATCCTATGATATACTTAGGGCTATCCTTTTCTGGGAACAGGTACTGTGCGTTCCGAGTTAGCTTTATTGTCGAACAAAGGATATGATTTAGTGAGATACGTACCGATCCGTAGATCTGGGCCAAATTAGCCAGTGCATTCACCATAGCCAAAGCAACTCCTCGGGCCTGGGGGTGCATCCCACCAAAGGCAGAGGAGGCGTAGGCCAGTGTACCTCCATTCGTGGCCCAAAGGCCGGATGCCATGAGAACCAGGAGAACATAACGAGCTGTGAAATTGTACACAGCACAAACAATAATCGAACAAACCAGAGAAAATGTCAGCCAGCTGGCAATAATGACGCCACGCCAGTTGGGAATTTTGTCTCCGAAGTAGGATGTGACACCAGTGGCGATAAATGCCACGCCATAGATAGGCACAGTCAATAAATTAATCTCTTTGACGGATGCGTCTCCAAAAAGTCCTTTTATGAGGGTAGGGTAGAAGTACGTCAGGGTACTTGAACCGACGATGACCTATAGAGGATGACCTGGTTAGTGATGTTAAAGATAAGCGACAAAAAAGGGGGTTCGAACCATATATCCAATAACGAACGACCAGGTGCGAAGGTCTTGACACGCTACTTTACAAGCACCCCAGTTACTTAGGTGCTCAGTATTCTCGGTGGTAACGGTAACATTCTGACTAGCCAGGCGTGCCACAGCGATCTGCCTCTCGCGCTCAGAGAGACGTCGCGATGTACCCGGAAAATCGGGAAGAATGAAGAGGGAAATGATAGCAAAACCGACAGTGGCGGCACCTTCAATAATGAACAGCCATCGCCAACCACGAATCCCATGAACCCCCTCAAGGCCATCAACAATACCAGCAGCAATCAGGCCACCAAAGGCGCCTGATAGGACGGCCGCGGAGATGAACACACCGAATCTCTTGGACTGTTCAGTTTGTTTGTACCATGATGAAAGGAGAAGTATCACACCCGGGGCAAAGCCAGCCTCGACACATCCAAGAATGACTCGAAGAACTACGAGATGTGTGAAATCGTTGATAGCAGCCATTACGCAAGTCAATGCACCCCAAAGAATCATGATGGATGGGAGAAAGATAGAGGGTCGTGACCGACCCAGAACAAGACTGCAGAACAAGGGCAGTTAGCGGCCATGATCCAGGATGAGTACGAAGGATAGGATTTCCCTACTTGCTAGGCACTTCAAAAGCCACGTATCCGACGAAGAAGACAACCAGGGCAATCGAGTATTCGTTGGATGACAAGTCGAGATCTACTTCCATGCCAGATATCTTTGCATTGCCGATGCTGTACACAAACGCCCATTAGCACCCTGACGAAGTACAAGACCTCTAGCTATGACATGTTCATACTCACTTAGTTCGGTCCAGGTAGGACAGGAGGTACATGATCCAGACAGTCGGCAGGAGAGTGAGGTCAATCTTCCTCACCAACGCCTTCTCCTCTTCTGGGCTGAACGAGATACACTCGCTGATATTCACAGTCTCAACCTCATGAGAGGAGACATCCTTCGATTGGCTCTCAGAATCGCGATCCATGATGACTTGTTGGAAGAGCTAAAGGTTGGAAGAATAAAGAATAATGTTAGGTGGGACATGAACCTCCTTACAGAATGTGTATGTACTATCCCCTACCCCGGATATACAAGGCTAGGGCTTTGGGACCTAGAAAAATTCGGATATTCGTTCATATGTCATGCTCATTTTCCCCATATCCACCCCAAAACGTCCCAAGCGCGACTTCTCACTTTCTATAGTCGGGGTAACCTTGTGCGATTGGCGTGTGTGGTCGCATCGAGGCCAACGTGGGGCCTCTCGTTCAGCGCCAATCAAGCCACTGGGGAAAGTCTAATATTTCCAAACTTCGCGGAAGGGAATATATTTTGCCGTCTGATCACCCCATGGGGTATTTAATACCGCGCCATTGAGCAGTATTCTCACTCACATGGTCAATAAGCAGACTAAGGAGACTACCTTGGAAGCTTAGCCTTCGCCAGAGTCCATGGGTTTACTACTGATGCCCCGACCCAGAAGTAAAAAGGTCTTAAGCACTATGAATGTAGGTATTAAATGATGGGAACAAAGGAGCTGGAGAGAGAGTTCAAGTTATATTGGGGAAGAGCCCGTTCTGAGGTGTTTCTGCCCAAGCACCAACCATAGGCATACCAGGGGATTGATTAATCCTTCCATATTTTGCAATATATATTATATGATCGAAGCTCCATAACTAGCTAGTTGGCTATAACCCAAACCCCATTTTGGGTTCGGGTTAGAGTGGGTTGTGCCAAAGTCTAGAAGAAATGATCTATAATGTCTAGCAATCCTATACTAGGATCGCTAAGGTGAACACCATTGATTAGACCCTTCATTTTACGATACGACATCCACCGACACTTCAATTGGAAGAGCCGAAAGAAAATTGATAGGTCAACTTGCAGTAGTTTAATGCTGTCTCCGCAACGTTCTGCGTCCTGGTCCCGTTATATTTGGATTTAGATCATTTTCCAAGGTCAAACAAGCCTTGCATGAAGCTAAACTGTTTGGGGCTCATCTCCACGTGGGTGCTGGTCGATCTCCGCGCCTCGATACGAGGGTCGGTCTCGACCGCCAGTGCAGGCATTGCATGGGTGTTAGTTAGGACTCGCTTCGAAGGACATGCTTGATCTCCTACTTGATTCTCGCGGAAAGTGACCGTGGGTCGGCATGGGGTAGCAGTCCTCTACAACGCGTGGGTGGGGATCTTTCAACTGCCCCGACGCTACACGACTCTAGTATACCGAACCATTCGGTATGTATTTAGGCAATATCCGAGTTGGTTGGCTGAATAAAAGGCCACGACAGGCTTAAGAAGGTGCCTTCCCTTTCCAAGTGCTTAACAATTCTTTCAATCGTCCCTCATTCTTACGGCAAACAAAAATATTCTCAATAATGCCTCCAAGTGTTCATGACACCACCGTAGGCGCCCCTGTTGCCGAAGTCGCAGCACCAGCCCCTGCCTTCCTTGACACGCAACCAGGTCCAGACCACGACTGGAAAATTACGCTGAAGGACAAGGTCATTGCCATCACCGGTGCCAACCGAGGTATTGGCCTAGCTATCGCAGAGGTCTGCTTAGCCAACGAGGCGGCAGCCATCTTCAGTCTGGACGTGTTCGAACCTGGTGAAGAGTTTGTCGCCCTGCAGGTTGCCAACCCAAAGCGCTTATCTTACGTCCAATGCGACGTCACCTCTGAGGAGAGTGTCAACTCAGCAATTGATGCTGTCATCTCCGCACGAGGTGCCATCCACGGCTTCATCGCCAATGCTGGTATGACAAAGCACCAGCCGGCGCTTGACTTCAGCCGCGCCCAGTTGGACCAACTGTTCAATCTCAACGTTTTTGGCGCCTACTTCTGTGCTACTGCTGTGGCCCGCCGCTTCATTGATCTCGGAATCAAGGGATCCATTGTCTTCACTGCTTCCATGACAAGTTATCGACCTAACCGTGCGGCGCCTTCGGCTCCTTACGGAGCTACCAAGGGTGCTGTGCGGAATATGACACATACGCTGGCTATGGAGTGGGCCAAACATGGCATTCGTGTCAACTCAATCTCGCCGGGATTTATTAAAACTGCTATGACCTACTTCGTGAATCAGGCGCCGGACTGGAACCTCAAAATGCAGTATTATGGCGGCATGCCCAGATTAGCTGATCCCAAAGAGCTCGGCGGAGCCTACGTTTATCTGCTCTCTGACGGTGCATCTTACACTACGGGTATCGATATTCCGGTTGCTGGTATTGTCGGAGCGTGGTGAGGGAGGGAGTCCAT